TTAAAAAAAATTTCATGAATATTTATTTTTTAATGAAAAAAAAAAACTTCAGTGAAAGTCTGTTGCGTCCTTTCTTGTGCATGTTGTGTAATCTACAGAAGGAAAATGGTAGGAAAATAACTTGTGTGTCAAGAATTTTTAACTATCAAACAACATGCCAGACAATTACAGACCATATTACTTAGCAGTACTTGACATCAAACACATGTGCCTCTGCTACAAGAGCCTTTAAATCAGCCTTACTGCATATTATTTTCAAATAACTTGATTTTGTGAAAATTATGTAGTGGAAATCATGATAATACCCACCTGATTTATGGAGACTAGAATTTAAATTTGAATATTTTGAGGAGTAGCGTCCCTGATTGATCAAGTAGAGAACTTTAGTCAGAATATGGCTGCACTTGCATTGATTGGGGTCTCATTAAATGTCCTGGCCTGAAAAGGTTTATTAGAAATATAACATATCATGTATTAAGTGTAAGAATGGATAAAATTCACTTGATTCAAAGGCTAACAAAAACCTAAAATGAATATTTTACAATCATTATCACTTGGCAAATGAACTAACCTCCTGAAGAACTGCCGTCTTCTCCAAATTGTGGAATGGATTTCCTCCTCCTAAAAAGCAAAATAAACAGATTGATTGTACGTTGTTTTACACCTGTTTAAGAATTTTCTCTAGTATATCACCAAATACCAGGTAAGAGTTTCAAATTTAACCTTTACTTAGCACTCAGAGCCATTCTTAATCCTGCCAATGTCTACCCTGTCATGGGGCCTCAATTTTTAGGTCTCATCCAAAGTGCTTGCAACTTCAACTTCAAAGTGCCGAGAATTGAAGAAGGAATGTTTTCTACCAATCTCAATGACTTACTGCAAGTTCAGTTCAGTTTGGGATCATTTCTGATTCTATATCCCAATCAGGCTATTATACCTTAACCCCCATTCCTCAAAATATGACAAAAAAGGTGACAAAACTAAATGGCTTGTGATTGAGCACCTGTTTGATTTGAATCCATGGACTATTGTATTTTTCATACGCAATGTAACAAGATACTGTGAATGGTTAAAGATAATTATGTATAACTGCAATGCATACTATCAAAAACATAAATACCGTATAATCCCTATTAACCGCCCCGGGCGCTTAGAAAACTGCAGAAAAAGGGGGCGGTTATTTTAATACTCTTGCTAAAATTTTGAATGTCATATTCTAACTTCCAGAAATCTTTTGATAAAAAAACAAATAACAGAGAACCACTAAAAATTGTCTAAGGCCATCATAAAAATATTCCTAGATTCTCATCCCCGCCCGCCCGATTTTAGACCCCCGCCTCGATTTTTTTTATTTCTGTTTTTCTTCGTCTGAATTCTGATCTGGATCGGTATTCATCTACCATTCTACTTTCGTTTTTAAAAATCCCGCGAAAGTCGACATGATTAGATGGTAATTGCTGTAATACATGCGTATATATTTTAAAGAAGGGTCATTGGTTGAAAAAGATTGGTGATGGTGTGAAGTAAGAGATAATTGAACCTTTACTATGACTTTTATTCGGGTATTTTAGATAAAATTACACAGATTGACCAGGTCAATAAAAAATCTGCAAAATTGAAAAAAATAAAAAATATAAAATAAAAGCCGCCCGCCCGCCTCGATTTTAAAAAAAATTCGGATGAGAATCTAGCAATCTATTTATTATTGCCTAACCTTCCTTTAAATTACAATAATCCACCCAAATTATGCTATATGACTCATTTTCCCACTTCGAAAGTAGGGAATAGACAAGGAGAACAAATTTTGTACTTGTATGTTTAACTTTCACTTTCAGAAATACATGATCAGGTCATTCTAAAAATCTTTTACTTTCAAGAATATTTATGTATGAGTTACCCAATAAAAAAATTTCGTTTTCACTTTCTTCATAATGGCGGACTTTTGATACGATTCTGGACGATTTTGATCACTGTAAAGGGGGCCCTTATTTCCTGACAGTTGAAAAAGACCCAGGGGGGAGTTTATAGGGGTAGGGGCGGTTAATAGGGATTATACGGTACTTTAAATGTCAGGTCCAGTTAATCAGTACAATTAGCTACATATGTAGAATTATATACCGTAGCTTTATTTACCTACCTCAGGTAGCTTTATTTAGCTATTTCAATGCAAATTTTCACAATTTTGCTTTTAAATTGAGAAAAAACAAAAACAAAGTCACAAGTATTTGATTACTGATATAAAAAATAGGTAAATCTTAAGAGAGCAATCTAAAGCAGAAATGTTTAAAACTTTGCCATGTTTGCTGCATTTGAACACTTTTGAGCAAAAGATGCTATTGTCAGGTCCAGTACAATCTCTTGATTTAGCTATATAGCTTTAAATTCAGAATAGCTTAATTTAGCTATTTTACTACATTTTTGTTCTTAAAGGTGTAATATTCTCAGTATGCACAAAAAAGCGCACCTTGGTGCAGTGATGATATACAACTTTGAACTCTTCTTAAATAATGCACGTAAAAATCACTCATCAAATTACGTCTCCTTGCGAGACTTTGAACTCGAAGTTTTACAAGTTTTGGGGCTATATAAAGCAATTGATAATACAGTTACTTCTGCAATGATTTTATAATGGAGACCAATTATGTTCAACAAGATAATTGATTGGTAACAGTTCAGCACAATGAGAAGCAATCATACTTATCCTTGCCTCAAGGCACCCAAGGTAGTGGACAGTTAGTCTAACAATAGAAATTCTCTTTTTGCTTAAAAGTATTCAAAAGCTGCAAAGTTAGAACTATCTTTGATTTTGGTTGTTGTTTTGATAACCCTTAGTACAAATATGGAGTCAAATACGTGCGACTTTTTGTTTATTTTCAGCAAAAACTTTTTTGTGAAAAACTGTATATAAATAGCTAAATAAAGCTATTTTGAATAGCTTGATAAAGCTACATTGCTATTTAAAGCTATACTAGTATAGCTAAATCAAGAGATTGTACTGGACCTGATTGTTTTAGTCAAGTTCTGTCCATATATTTCGTGTGCGATGAGGCATGGATAGTGTGATCACTTGACATTGTGTTGCATGATTACCAATCAATTATCATGTTAACCAGAACTTGACTTCCCATCTATGATCTTAACATGGGGTTTTACTGATTTAAGCCACAATATTACATTACGCCACAAAACGGCTTTTCTCACACCGGAGAAGTCGATTGCTCTGAAATCGAATAAAATATTTCTTTTAGAAAATAGTCACCTTCTTCCTCCTCCTTCTTGTCTTTCCTCATGATGTGCATTTTGATCAAATAAAATGAGAATTCAGTGATGATGTGGAACCGGTGAACATCAACAGGAAGTAATAAAATTTGATGAAGAGCGCATGCGCTAATTGACTTCCCGAGGTAAAATATAGTTGCGAACCCGCATTTACAAAAATTGGAAGAGTGCGCAAAATTAGGTAAAGGGTTATTTCTTATTTAATTGTTCTTTTATTTATTTACATCTAAATAATTGGAAGAGACAAATTAAGGTTAGTCATTTATAACTATTATCCGTGAGCATTTTGCATTTAATCTTGGCATGCATTTCAGGGTGCGCAGCCATAATAATGCTCTTCAAAAAAAGAAACGCATAGTAGAATTTTAGTGACTAATTGTATAATTGTTTTGCTATTCATTGGCTTATCTTTTCCTTATTATTATAACAATCTCATACTTGTCTGTTATGGGCTCTAAATTAGTAATAAAATGTTCTGTTCTGTTCTGTTCTGTTCATTAAACACAAAGATTATTTAGTAAAATGATGCATTGATAAAACAGAAATGTGGTAAGCAACAGGAATACTCTCTAAATGTCATAATTACTCATCAATTTTAAAGTCATAGTCAGTTTCAGGCCATTAAGACCGCGGAACATTAACTGGCAAAATTGGAAATATACAGCTTACGTCATTTCTATCTGTTACAATCAAAACATTCAGTGATAGACAATGAAATGGGCGGGTACAAATCGACGCGGACGTGGGGAAAACATTGGATTGAAAGTGCAGATCGACCTGAGCTGTTTTCAAAGCAAAGAGTGAATGTATGATCCAAAAATCAACTAATTTCAACTCCCAAATACATATTGTTTGAAGTTCACATTAGTACGAGTTTTAGCTTATAATTTTAAGAACGCGAAAGATCATAGAAGTCAAAGATTATTTTTCAGGAGATATTTGATTCTAGAAGGGGGGGGGGGGAGGTAAAAAATTGTCGAGTCAGGTCATGGCTTAACATGACAATATATTTTATTTCTAGGATTATAAGAGTGCATGAGTTTTATACTTATTCTCACTGAAAACTGTTGGACAACTTTATTAAAAATTGTTCACCCCCCCCCCCCTCCACCAACACAAAGATATACCAGGGACCTATATATATACTAGTTAGTTATATAGGTCCCTGGATATACATATATTTTCCAAACAGAAATGAAATATTTGTCCCTTAAATATTAATTTATTTTAAACACTGGACAAAAAAAAATTTCAAACTGTACCCAAATTGAAATTATTTGTCATCTGGGTCAATCAGTAATAATGTGCCTAGCCCTTCTAGCGTATAGCTGAGGTGGATTGAAAATGAATTTCGATCTGCAATTTCAATCCGATGTTTTCCCCTCGCCCGCGTCGAATTGTAACCGCCCATTTCATAATCTATCACTGAATGTTTTGATTGTAACAGATAGAAATGACGTAAGCTGTATATTTCCAATTTTGCCAGTTAATGTTCCGCGGTCTTAAAAATCAATACATGTATCTGGTATGCCCCCCGCAGACACAAAAGATAGCCACAAACGGCATCTAATGGAAACAAATGTGTGTAATAAAAACTGTATAGGAATACTCTCCCACTCCAAATGTAGAACTTTGGTCAGCTGTTGCAGAGTCTGGGGATGCGATTGTCTTTGGCAAATCATGTCAATCCATTTTGTTCAATGCTGCTTAATATGGATTAAATCTCTGCAAGAACTGGATTGTCAAACGAGCCGTATGCGGTTGTGTATTGTGAGATTGCAATACGGCTCTAGGATGCTGCAAAATTGAATGGGCATGTGTAGGTAGAACATGGTTAGAGTACCTTTTTCCATCAAAGTCCATTGAATTCGAACCAAATCAATCTTACTTTCTTATAATACCGTTTTCCATATCATTACATTACCTCACCAACTTTTTTAACGTCCTGGAGCTAGGCAGCTTTCTGTCTAACATTCATTACAAAGCATTAGCACTCTTAAACTTATAAGAGTCTTTCAGATAAACATTCTGGACTAGTAGCTAAACCAAAATGTTCAGCAGTGATGCTGTGGTCATTACCGGCCGCCAGGAGGCGGTCGGTTATATGATATGAAAGTTTTAAGTCGCCGTGCGTTTCTGCGGAGTTAGCAATTTGAATAAAAAATATTTAACATTCATGTAATAGAATATTAAGAAAGAGTGTCTGAATGTAAATTAAAAACGCATAATAATCATCAAACTAAAATTTTATGAATAATGGGTTAAATGTTTCATCCAATCCTGATTGACAAATTCCTACGTAACTGAAGTGCGGAGAAATAAGCACACATGTTGGGCATAGTCTAAAGCAAGGACCGCGTTATATGATTGCCTAAACAAATTTTACTTTTTCTACTTCAACAGGATTTGTTGTGTATATGATTTAAAATGACGTGTAAATATAAATACACAATGTACTTTTAATACGGAAAATTTTCAAAATCATGACTTAATCTTAATTTATTATCAGACAGAATATTAGGAGATTTTTCTCCAACAGACAAGGATAAAGCGCGTTTTACAACATGCCAAGCCTTTTCCCGCCACATCTCACACCAAAACAAGACAGAGAAGAAATGTAGTGGTGGATCTAGAGGGAGTTGGGGGTTTCAACATCCTCTGAGCGAGCAAGGAGCCCCATATAGTTGTTACGTTTTATTTAATGTTAAACTATCTCTAGTTAGATAAGTTTAAACGTTAGTTTTAATGGTTAAGTGTTAAAACTACTTATATATAAACATCAAACTTCCGCCAGAGTTCGTTAATAGTATCAATTAAACTTACTGGGTGCGGGGACGCAGAGGGCTAAGAGTAAGTTGCAATGTACATGTATTATGTACTGAAGAAAATCCTGGGATGTCGCATTCAAATGTTTAATGTCACAGGGATATATTAATTAACAGATAAATATAAGAATTCAGTTTCTACTTTATTATATGAAAGAATTAATTAATTGGTTTGCGACCGATTTTTGACGCTTGCGTCAATATGTTTCTTGTACTCTCTTGATCTGAGATCTTTGAAGTCGATATTTGGGGTGTTGTGGGGTCAGAACAATGGCATGAATAATCCTCTTGCAATAATTCGAAGTCAACTGAAAATGGTCTTGTTAGATGATCTGTGCAGTTCAGGGATAGCTAATGCTTTAGATGACGTCATTGCATTACATTCATGCAATTTACGTAATCCTCTGAAGTGATGCTGTGCTGCTGATGTCACACGTAGTCTACCATATTTTTGCGAACATTGGGTGTTCAGTGTTAATGGTTTATGTTTTATAGGTTAGATATGGCACTGTGCGTAACATTAAAACCACTTGCAATTGTAGATTTCGGTACCCCTGCTTCCAGTCGCCCATTTTCATTTTTGTGCTATGCAACATTCAGATGCAGCATTTTTAGGAAGCGTCATTTTTCAGATAAATCCAGATTCAAAATATCGAGAACCCCCGCTGTTGATAGCCCCTTTGTACCTGAAGGAATTGCATCAGAATTAACAAATGAAAATTGAGATAAAATTTTGCAAAATCAGGTCTTTTTGTCTGTGAGACTTGTAGAATAGATGTAAAGTTAACAATTGCATAAAAAAAAAATCACACATTTCACTCGAATACATCATATCTATATAAAAATAAAAGGTTTGACAAAACTATCATACATTTTTCAGGGCATTGTTCCTATTATGCGTTTCTTTTTTTTTTTTTTTTTGAAGAGTATATATGTATATATATGTATATATATATGGTGGTGAACGTTTCATGGGGCAATTTTACTTTTCTGCAACAAAAAGGGGTCAACCGACCTTTCAATGAACATTTTCAACATGGCTTGAGAAGGAGCGGGGGTGCATGGGGTGGGGATGGGGTGGTTCCATTCTATTCTACCCACCTTTGAAATCTGAGAAGTCATGGATGAATGGAAATTATGGTAAAGGTTTTAATGAATTTAAAAATGACAATTTTTGGCAATTTTGAACCCTAAATGCATGTTCATGCGGCGGGATAGTGGAACTATAAAAAATCACTTTATCCCTTTTACTGCCAAGTTAACAAGGAAACCAAGTTATATTCTCAATAACATTCAACGATATCTTAATTTTAAGATAAAGTCTAATAATTAATTGGGAATTGTTTATGCATGCATATTACATGTATACAATAATTGTAGAACCATTTCCAGCTTAGTTTGGACTTTCAGTTAGGCGTGGCATTCTTGGCGCTACAAGTTTACTGCCTGGCAAATGGCGAATAGATTCTCAATGGTTAAGAAATTAATAACATCAGGAACTTTAAATTGTTGTTGACAACGATGAGACGACTTAAGCTCCACCTCCTTGCAGGACTTAACAATGTACGTAATTGGTTATTCGATACACTAATTGGCATTTGCCTGAATTTCTATCCCATGTATATTTCAACAGTGAAGGAAAGCTGTGTAAATTTCAGAAGCTAATTACATGTATATACGTCGAGAATGCCGCGCCTTCCTGAAATTTAAGTCCAAACTAAGCTGGAAATGGTCCTAGATGAAATGGAATGTTATTGCTAAAAGAAAACATGAATGATTCTTCTCAGTGAATCACTGAAATATTATGATAATCTCCTTAGCAAAACCAGACGAAACAATATTAAAATTTATATTTGTCTAGTCACATCAGAAATATTTTACAAAAATTAACCATTTATTTCATTTTCAGAGCAAAAATCATAACGTAAAGCCCCATGGACAATATCTTAATTTTTTGGCTTTTGGTCCCTTTGCTTTCTCAAATAATAACACGAAGCTTAAGACTAAAACAATCCTTTAGTTTATATACTTAGACGAAATTCCTACCTATGTTACTATTGACATTCCTCTTCCCTCCATAAACTATAGTACCTCCAACATTTTGGACCCGTTGCCATGGAAAGAGAAATCGATATCAACCATACATCACCTGTTTAAGTTTACAAGATGAAGACTTTCAGGAAATTTTCTTTCGCTTCTTCCGTTAATTAGCTGCAGATCTGTAGCTCGCTGATCTGAAAAAGATTAGGATGGACGACGAGAGAGCTACAGTACCACTCACTGAGGTGTGCATTTTTTGCGCACAAAAAGTGCGCTGTTTTTTTGTTTTTGTTTTTTTTTTTTTACTTTTTTCACCGTATATTTCAAAAATTAAATTATTACTGAGAATGTGTTTTAAACATATTCTTTTACTACTTCCTCAAGACTGCATGTACAAGTCATGCACGAAGCGCATTGGACGAAATTATCTTGCCCCTTATGGCAGTATAAATAGAAATTTTACATGGTCTCATTTTCAGGGCGAGATCGAAAGACTATCCTAAAGCAATGTTAGGGGAAAATGTTTTCTTGTGGAAGTGGTAAAGGGATATGCTAGGAAATATGGTTAGTTAAATTTTGAGAAATAAATCGAGAAACGGCTCAATTTTTGTGCGCAATATACTAGTACACACTTTTTTCAATGAGTAGCACTGTAGCATGCTAGTCGTCCATCCTAATTTTTTCAGACAAGCGAGCTACAGATCTAGCTGCGGCTATCCACCCACTGACCCTCTTCTCACTCCAAATCCCCTTTTCAACCCCCTTCCCCCAAATAACCACGGCAACCAAATTCAGATATAAAGCAAATACCATTTAAAAGCAACAGTAGAAGGAAAACATGTAATTTTGAATGATGAAATGCTAATTCACGTAACTGGTGATCTTATAACCACTCTTGTCAGTGAGCTAATTTATCTTAAGGAAATACAAGTTCATTTCTTTTCTACAAAATGCTGGACGATTTTCTCCTCACATCTTTTATTACTATATATATATATATGACAAAACGAAGAGAATGCATGTGAATTAATGTATTATGTCAAAATATGCATTATATATCCTATAATATATATCAAAGCGAGAATCCAAAATCAGTCAGGAGGGCGAAAAAAACCTGGATATGACGTGAAATCTCTAACCCCCCCCCCCCCCCCCCCCCGAAAAAAAAAGAGAACAATCTCATACATACGTTTACACTGGCACACACACACACACACAAAAAAAAACAGTTCATATACATTTATTTTGACATTTAACTTTGGATTTTCTTTTCTTAAGAATTTAAGTATGTACTGCTATGCAAGGGTTACAATACAATGCCATTAACGACAACTTCTTCTAAAACTAGAGCATTTTTCCCGCCTTGAGCTACAGGATCGTCTGTTATGTAGTTCGGTTTGATAATTTTCACTGTGACGTATTTTCCATAAAGGGGTGTCTTGCATTCAATGACGTGAGTTTCTCCCGTTTTACTGGGTCCAATGAATGTTCCACAAGTTGACATCTGGGACCAATTTGACATTTTGCCTACCCTGGTTTCAACATCATGTAACCATCTACCTAAAGTTGTGATACCAAGAATGAATCTCTAATCCTCTTGAACATTATTATTCAGATAGTACAATTCTCTGTTATCATTGGACTTTCAGTAAAGCGTGACATTATCAACCTTACATAATTAGCATCTGCAGTTTGTACAACCTTTCATTCACTGTTGAATACCGGTAAACTATACATGGGATAGAAATTCGGGCGAATTTGAGCGAGTTAAAATTATTTAATGACACCGTTTCGTACGGCGAAGTGGTGAGGCTTACGTCATGTCATCGGTGTCAACAACAATGTAAAGTTGCTGATGTTATTAATGTCGTTACCAATGAGAACCTAGGTCGCCATTTGAAAGACGCTAATTACGTAGCTTCAAGAATGACACGTCTCACTGAAAGTCCAAAGATGACAGAGAATTGTTCTAAATGCCTTTAAAACTCTTATGCAATGTAACTACAATGTATTCACGGTATAGCGTAAGCGTATCGACCTGCAATTTGTGCCCTTTATTATTGTTTTGTGAAGTCAATATATCAATTTATTTTTTGATTATGACAAACTTTTAAATATAATGTTTATGCATTTTTTTCACACGTGGACTGAATTAATAACCTACCATGATTGTCGATCCTGTTAAATAAAATAATACTTTTGACGACACATACTTCAGTTCCCAGATAAATGGATAACCAAGGAAATAGTTCATAACCCGTATGAAATAACAGCCAAAAATTATTCACACGTGTACGTCCATCCACAGCATTTTCCCATCGTGTATTGTTCCCCGATAAAAAAATAGAACTAGCAGAAACAGTCTTTTCGAGTGCCAGATTTGTTTCTAAAGAAAAAATAAGTTAATTTACAACACCTTGAAAGAATACTTTTTAGAAAAATTATATTAAAATTTGTTGCTGAAGCTTTTTTTATATATATAATTTGTTGATAAAATAATTTTTTTTACATTATATAGTGGATCTGTTCGGAAGTATAAATTCAAACATTTCAAACCTTTGCGGCAAACGTCTTTGTAGTTTAGGTATCTTTCATTACAGGAGCAGACGCCTTCCTTACACGCAGCGCCATCTGGACAGGAATCAGAAGTGGAACAAGGACCAGGTATTAAATACTCTACAAAGTACAGTACTTACTATGACTAAAGAACGTATAGACTCTAAAACGTATAGTACTTAATATCACTATTGAAAGCATAGACTCTAGAGCGTATAGTACTTACTATAACTATTGAAAGCATAGACTCTAAAAAGTATAGTTATTACTATAACTATTCAAAGCATAGATTCTAGTACTTACTATAGATAGTACCCGGTATAGACTCTACAAAGTATAGTACTAACTATTTATAGCATAGATTCTAAAAAGTATAGTACTTACTATAGATAGCATAGACTCTAAAAGTATAGTACTTGCTATAGATAGCAAAGACTCTAAAAAGCATAGTTCTCTAAAAAGTATAGAACGTACTTTAGAAAGTCTAAAACAGTGTCCAGATATAATATAGGTACTTACTATAAGTAGTAAAGAATTTAAAACAGAAAATATATATAAATATAGGTACTTACTATAGTATTTTACTCTCTTATAAGTATACATGTAGAACTTACTATAGAAAGTTTAGACTCTAAGCAGTAACTATATTGTACGTAATAAAGATAGAATGGACTCAATGTTTTTACGGACAAACTGACAAAAAATTACGAGTTCCATTTTTATTGAAAAAGCAGCTGCCAATGATATAAAAAAAGCCTGGACTTTAATATATCGCGGGAAATTGTTGTGTATAAAGTTAAAAAGTAGTAAGTTTTTAAGTTCTTGATTTTGTTAAAATCTTGTGATTTCAAATTGTCCAATCGTTCTTTGGAATTTTTGTGTATCCACATCTGATTCACACCACTTCTTGAATATATTGTTGCAGTGTATTCTTGAAGTTTCTCCTTCACTACTGTTAATATCTTAGTGAGGAGTAAATAAAGAGGTTTGGTTGAACATATACTGGAACCCATGTAACTTTGTTTGTAAGAAATCTTGTGAAGTTTCAGAGTCCAATATATAAAAATATATGGTAGATCAAAATCACTTTGGTTCTTGGGGATATTAAAAATATTTAAGACTAACATTTGAATTTGAAGACTTTCTTCCTTAGAAAGGGAACGGTGTGTATAAGTTGGATTACCACTTGAAGAATTAAATTCAAGTTCTTCTAAAATACAATTACATGTTTATAAAGTTCCTTACAAACAAAGACAATATTGTTACCTGCTTTGTCAGTAGGGAGCAGGATGAACTGTGAATGTATTCTATCTAATTCTGTTTTCACTTCTGGAGAATTTTATTCAGAAGGATAGATGAATACACAAACTAGAATTGAGATAGAGACAGGGATCGAGAGAGAGAGAGAGAGAGAGAGAGAGAGAGAGAGAGAGAGAGATTTACCTCTTTTGACGATTTGAACATCTTCATGGGTCTTGGTAACATCTCCCTCGAGTCTCTTAACCATCTGCCTGAGGGAATCTACAGATTCTTGTATTCTCATTTGTTGGATCAATAGTCCTCGAATTTGCACCATTGTCTCTGCATTACTGGCACAGCAATTGTTTTCTTCCGAGTAAATGTACTGAGAATTTGTACATACGATGCCGGACATAAGGAGCGCTGCCCACACCATTGCCATGTTTAACTTTCTTGTTGCTGTCTTAACAAAAACGTTACTGGAAGAAAGTGTTTTTGAATATATTCACAACTTTATATATAGGCATAAACAGGGAAGATTAAAATTTAACCAATAAAATACTAAGTAAGTCAATACTTTAACCCAAAAAGGTCACTTAAATGTTGAGTAAAAATTTTTACATTCATTCAATTATGATTAAAAACAGATAAGTTTATCAAGCATGGATCAGGTACGTTATATCATAGAGGATGCGGGCAAGTTACTCAATTTATTCTAGCCATATGTCTTTTTAAAATTAATTTTAACTTTTCACAAGTTCACACAGTAAAACAAATATTAAACTAGAGGTACGGCGAGGAATGAGCTCACAAAATGATACCCCCGCCTCCCATATGTATAAAATAGAAGTGTCCATGTTTTGCTTTGGTAAACCCAAAATATGTGTCGGATCAAAAAGTAAAATAGGAGGGTCATAATGACAATATGTGATAAGGATTCTGTAAAAGTTTCATCAAATTTCATTCAGTGGTATGAGAGGATTTGATGAAACTTTTACAAAATTTTTATTACATATCGCCATTGTGCATCTCATGTTTTACTTTTTGATCAGACATATTCTGTGTTTCTCAAGACAAAACATGGACACTGCCTTTATATTCATATGGGAGGGGGGTAGCATTTAGTGAGCTCATTGCTCACAGTACCTCTAGTTTCTAGTGGTCATGGGTATCGAGTTTGTAACATGTGAAGGGCTGTATTTGAGAGTAGAGTGGCCGTCGGATTCTTCATGGGCAACTATAAAATGTGAATGTGTTTTATTTCTGTCCGTTATTTTCGTTTAATTAAATGTTGAGCTAAATATTTTTATTGCAAAAGAGCTTCCTTATATTGTCCATGTGTACAATTAAGCCATAGACTGTAAAAGTCAGTACTCCTTGCAAAAGTGCAGTACTCGATCTGTAAAATAGCAAGAACAAATTCAAGACTATATATTGTTTGTTCTTTTTATTTTAAATATGGATTAAAAATGTGTTTGAAATTCGCCTTTTAAAGTTTTCCTCGAAAGATGCAGTATTCTTTGGATGTATATTTAAAACTTTTTTTTACTGTGAGATGGAAAGTGTTTCCTTCTGATTACAATGAAGACATTTTGTGGTTTGTATGAAAAAAAAGGAATCAGATAGGCCCATACATGTCATGTATACATATCTATGTTTCTTTGTTTGTTAAACCATGTCGTGGAGATTGATTTCGGATATAAACAGGCGGAAAAAGAATACTTATATAAGAACGTATAAATAATGTCATTTATTTTGTAAATTATGAAACAATAAATAAACAGGAAGTCTTTAGTTTAAATAAACTAAGACAACATTCCTTCATATGTTACTATTGACATTCCTTGTCCCTCCATAATGCGGATTCAAAATTAGTTTAATTAGCCCCCCCCCCCAACTTTTAGGCCCGTGTCGGTGCATGGTAAGAGGAATCTATATCAACCAAACATCATTTGTTTAAGTTTACAAGATGAAGGCTTATGCATATGCACGAAGTTTCAAGAAATTTTCTTTCGCTCCTTCCTTTAGCTGTAGATCTGTAGCTCGCTAGTCTGAAAAAATTAGACCAGAGAGCTACAGTGCCACCCATTCAAAAACAGTACATGTATATATATTTTTGCGCACCTTTTTTCACCGTATATTTCAAAATTATTACTAACAGTATGTTTCAAACACATGTTCTTTTACTACTTCCACACCAAAACTGTATTTTTACAAGACATGCACGAAGCGCATTAAACCAAACTATCTTGTCACCTAATATGGCAGTAAAAATATATAAGTATATGATCTCATTTTCAGGCCGAGAAGGACTACATGTAAACTACGTTTGGGGGAGATATTTTGTTGTGGAAGTGGTAAGGAATAAAACAGGAACATACAGTTTAGTATAATGTTTGAGATGGCAGCATAAACTAGAGGTACTGTGAGCAATGAGCTCACAAAATGATACCCCCGCCTCTCATATGATTATAATGACAAAGTCTCTGTTTTGCTTTTGGAGACTCGAAATAAGTCTCAGATCAAAAAGTAATATAGGAGGTGCACAATGGTATTATGTAATAAAAAAAATCTGTGAAAGTATCATTAAATTTTATTCAGTGGTATAGGAGGAGTTGCGGATATGACATGGATACCCTTCAATATTACAGAAAAAAAGGCAATGTTCAATTTTTTGCTCTGGAAAACCCGAACGATGTGTCCAATCAAAAAGTAGAATAGGAGGTGCACGATGGCACTATACCACAAAGATTCTGTGAAAGTCTCTTTAAATTTTATGTGGTAAAAGAGGAGTTGCAGATAAGAGATAGGTGACTCAAAGCGTAACATACGGACGGACGAAGGGATATCCCGATTACTACATATGGAGAAATTGTGTTCATTCTGCTCATTTGCATATCGGCCATATTGGAAATGTAATGGCGGCCAATTCCACAAAGGTTTATTCAGAGAATTTTTTATAAAATCGCTAATTTTTAATTGCAAACTATTTCAGATAAAGTTCTTCCGCCGATAGTTTGATTCTTCTTCATACCGGGTATATTCTACCGGAAATGACAAGATTGTTGATATCAAAGTGAAAGCTGCGACTGAATTTGCGATTTGAAAATTCGAAGCGAGAGAATACTGTTTTAATGAGGCAATGCGTACAGAATTAGTGTTTTTATCATTTTTGATGATGAAATGTAAATGTTTATTGCAAGTTGACAGAGTTCTTCCGCCGATTTATAGGTACAAGAGAGAGCTTATTTTTATAGAATACACATGATTTATCATTTCGTGAAGAATTACGACAGCCTTTTTCATTTGAAAACGACAGATTCTTGCAAATAAGTGACCTGCTTAATTTAATTAAAACGTTATCATGAAAAGTTAGTTGTTAATCACACAAAATGTAACTCATGTAACAATGTCAGGGGCTAAATTAGAAGATAAAAATAAAACGAAACAGGCTTTCTTGGTTCAAGTATATCAAATTAATGTAAAAGAATTTTGAGTTTACACAGGATCTTATGAATATTAATAAGAAAGATATCACGTGTACGTGATATCATGAATAAACTGCCCACCATTTCTCCCCTCCTGTTTTTCAAGCGGTGGATATAATAAACGGAGAAATAAATCGAGAAACGACGCATTTTTTGAGCGCAATAAATACATGTACACACTTTTTCAATGAGTAGAACTATAGCTCTCTGGTCGTCCATCCTAATTTTTTTCAGACCAGAGAGCTACAGATCTGCAGCTATCCATCCTCTGACCCTCTTCTCCCTCTAAATCCACTGTTTCCCCCTAATAACCATGCCAAACAAAATTCAAATATAAAGCAAATACCATATAAAAGCAACCGACAGAAGAAGGAAAACATGTAATTTTTTACAAAATTCTCTAGACGGGTTTCTCCTCACATCTTTAATCAATGCATATAAACAAAGGGAAAGCATTTGTATTAATGCATTATGTCAAAATATGCAGCACATCCTATATATATTAAAGCGAGAATCCAACATCAGCCAGAAGGGTGAAAAAACCTGGATATGACATGAATTTTCTAACCACACCCCCCCCCCCCCACAAAAAAAAAACACATACACTGGCACACGCACCCTCACCCTCCCTTACACACACACAAAGACACACACACACACACACACACACCCTCACCCTCACAAAACAGTGCATGTACATGTATTTTGACATTTAACTTTGGATTTTCTTTCCTTAAGAATTTAAGTATGCACTGCTATGCATTAGTTACAATACAATGCCATTTACGACAACTTCTTCTAAAACTAGAGCATTTTTCCCGCCTCTTGCTGCGTAATCGTCTGTTATGTAGTTCGGTTTGACAATTTTCACTGTGACGTATTTTCCATAAAGGAGTGTCTTGCATTCTATTATGTGAATTTCTCCCGTTTTACTTGGTCCAATGAATGTTCCACAAGTTGACATCTGGGACCAATTTGACGTGTTGCCTACCCTGGTTTCAACATCATGTAGCCATCTACCTAAAAAAGTGATAACAAGATCGAGTTAAATGAATCTCGATTCCGCTTAACAGGATTATTCCGTTAGTACAATTCTCTGTTATCCTTGGACTTTCAGTTAGGCATGACATTCTCGACGTTACATAATTAGCATCTGCAGTTTACACAGTCTTTCATTCACTGTTGAAATATACATGAGATAGAAATTCGGGCGAATGTCAACGAGTGTAACAATTATTCAATGACAGCGTTTCGTACGGCAAAGAGGTGAGGATTAAGTCATCTCATTGTTGTCAACAACAATGTAAAGTTACCTGTTGTATAGGGTATTTATAGGCTTAAAGCCTGTTGCTCAATCTATTCAATATTTACTGAATAAATATTGTTTGAATCAATGTAAAGTTGCTGATGTTATTAATTTCTTAACCAATGAGAACCTATTTCGCCATTTGAGAGACGCTAATTATGTAGCTTCGAGAAAGACACACCTCCTTGAAAGTCCAAAGATTACAGAGAATAGTACTAAATGCCTGTAAAACTTTAATACAATGTAATTTCAATGTATTCACGACATAGTGTAAGCGTATCGAAATCACAGTTTGTGCCCTTTATTATTGTTTTTGTGAAGTCAATATATCAATGAATTGTTTGCTTAAGACAAACTTTTAAAAATAATATTTATGCATTTTACTCACACGTGTACAGAATTAATAACCTACCATGGTTGTCGATCCTGTTAAATAAAATAATACTTTTGACGACACATAATTCAGTTCCCAGATAAATTGATAGCCAAGGGAATAGTTCATAACCCGTGTGGAATAACAGCATATGATTCTTCACACGCGTACGTCCATCGACAGCATTTTCCCATCTTCTATTGTTCTCAGAAAAATAAGTAGAACTAGCAGAAACAGTCTTTTCGAGCGCCAGATTTGTTACTAAAGAAGAAAGAAGTTTCTCTACAAAATAAGTTTATTAATAACACCTTGAAATAAAACTTTTTGAAAAACTTTCTGAAATTTGTGACCGAAACTTTTTTTTAATCTAAAATTTGTCGGTAAAAATACACATGTATGAATTTTATATTATAAAGTGGGTCTGTTTGGTAATATAAATTCAAACATTTCAAACCTTTGCGGCAGACGTCTTTGTAGTTTAGGTACGTTTCGTTACAAGAGCAAACGCCTTCCTTACACACAGCGCCATCTGGACAGGAATCAGAAGAGGAACAAGGACCAGATAGCATAGATTCTAAAAAGTATAGTTAGCACTCTAAAAAGTATAGCACTTGCTATAGATAGCAGAGATTCTAAAAAGTATAGCACTTGCTATAGACAGCAGAGATTCTAAAAAGTATAGCCTTTTCTATAGATAGCAGAGATTCTAAAAAGTATAGTTAGCACTCTAAAAAGTATGGCACTTGCTATAGATAGCAGAGACTCTAAAAAGTATACTACTTGCTATGGAGAGCATAGACTCTAAAAAGTATAGTTAGCTTAGACTCTAAAAGTATAGCACTTGATATAGATAGCAGAGATTCTAAAAAGTATATCTTGCTATAGATAGCAGAGATTCTAAAAAGTATAGCACCTGCTATAGATAGCAGAGATTCTAAAAAGTATAGTTAGCACTCTAAAAAGTACAGCACTTGCTATAGATAGCAGAGACTCTAAAAAGTATAGTACTTGCTATGGAAAGCATAGACTCTAAAAAGTGTAGTACTAACTATATATAGCATAGATTCTAAAAACTATAGTACTTACTATAGATAGCATAGATTCTAAAAGTGTAGTACTTACTATAGATAGCATAGATTCTAAAAATAATAGAGTACTTATACTATAGATAGCATAGAGTCTAAAACGTATTGTACTTATACTATAAATTGCACAGACTCTACAAAGTATAATACTTTTACTATAGATAGCATGGATTCTAAAAAGTAAAGTACTTATACTATAGATAGCATAGATTCTAAAAAGTATAGTACTTACTATAGATAGCACAAACTCTAAAAGTATAATACTTATACTTTAGAAAGCACAGATTCTAACAAGCATAGTACTTGTACGTATACTATAGATAGCACAGACTCCAAAAGTATAGTTCTTATACTATAGATAGCATAGACTCTAACAGTATAGTACTTATACTATAGATAGCATAGATACTAAAAAGTATAGTACTTATACTATAGATAGCATTGATTCTAAAAGCTGAAGTTCTTACTTTAGATAGCATAAATTCTAAAAAGTATTGTACTTACTATAGATAGCATAGACTCTAAAAAGTATATTAGTTACTTAGAGAGCATAGACTTTAAAAAATGTAGTACTTACTATAGAGAGCAAAGACTCTCTAAATAGTAAATTATTTACTATAGATAGCATTGACTCTGAAATGTATAGTACATACCATAGATAGTCTAAACTCAAAACGTGTAGTACTTACTATAATAGTTAGGATGGACTCTAAAAAGTATAGTAATTATTTTTAAAAAAAAGAATAGAACTTACTTTAGATAGTCTAAATCCGTGTCCATATATAATATAGGTACTAACTATAGGTAGTACAAAATCTAAAACAGGAATATAGTACTATAGACTCTTAAAAGTATAGTACTTACTACAGAAAGTTTAGACTCTAAGCAGTAATTGTATTGTACTTAATAAAGATAGAATAAACTCAAAATCAGTGCCCATTTATAAATACAGTACTTACTATAGATATTATCGACTTCATAAGAATCTAAATAT